TTTTAATTTATTTAAGATTTTTTTTAATACAACTTAGAATGGCAAACAAGCTGACGGCCCACCTGATGGAAAGTGGTAACCGTCGCCTATAAACATGAGCAGTACCATGGACATAACGGAGTATACTGTTTCGCCCATGATACCCCCCATGCGTTGCCATTCCTGAGAACTCAGATGTTATTCCTCTGTACCCTGTAAATTCACGCCATATCCCACCTTTCAAACCGAAACACAGCTATTCAAACAAAACTACTTTACGGTAGAAACACTAATGGAGCAGAGGTACCCAAACCATCGACTTTTGTACAAAGTCTCCCTCTGGTGATAATAATTTGTCATTTTTGTATATTATATTGATTACTTATCTAGTCATGTCAATTCACTTGTAATATTAATTCAATTAAAAATATACACAATTATAAAGTCTCCAACATAATGAACACAATATCTATTTATCATTTATTAATTAATTATATTATATATTTCCCTTTATTAATGATGCCAATTGAGGTTTAAAATTATATAAATTATGTGTATTATTTATTGAACTAGACATACAACAAAAATAAACCGTAGAGCAAAGGACGTAAACACATTTTAGTTTTGGAAACTGTTAATGCCTAGAGTTATGAATAATTAACAGAATTTCTAATAACTTAGTGAAGGCAAGGGTTCGGGTAAGAGGTCACAGAGGACGTGAAGTGACGCTGACTTTACTAACACAACTAGCAAGTAATGGGGTCCATTTTTTTAGAGTTAAATTTAATATTTCAAAATGACAAACTAGAGTTTGCTCCGCTAAAAAAAGCTGCTTCGATCGTGGCTACATTAATATAAGATCAACACTGTCTATTGCAAAAGAATTAACAGAAACTACATAGACGTCGTGAAGATACAGTGTAACTAAGAGTGTAACATGCACCATAATTCTCAGGAATGGCAATGCTCCATGGGTGTAACAATGTTAATATCACTTCACAGTGCGAGATAAATAGCACCATAGACATCATTGTTTACGGTGATAATGAGATGAGCTGACAACTTGTTTGTCATTCTAAATTACATAAAAAGACATAAAAGTTGAAAGTAACTAAAAAATGTGTACTTTAATTAAAAAAAATACCGATTTATTAATAATTAATATAGGTACTTTAAGTACCTATATTAATTATTACCGTAAGACTTTATTACATTCAAAACACATTTTAATTAATTTGAAATTCGAACGCGGCTATATTCTCAAGAGAGCAGTTGATAGGTGAAAATTATTTTGTGAAAGAATAATATTTTACGAGTTCTAGCTGTCGCGATCCCAATTTTTTTTTTTTGGATGAAAATGGATTGGTAACACCGCCCGCGCTAACGGGATACGTTGGCGGAGCACCAGTGAAGGGTGATGGATGAGAATGAAAACAGGCTAGTTACCCTATCATGATGAATTCATCATGAAGAATCAATCATGATAGTTTCCAGGGGGAACCGCGTGGAGGTCGACCTGGTTAGGTATATTGCTAGCAATGGGATTTTTAGTCTCCATTACTAACAATCCCTTTCCCCCCTATCGTGATCCCAATTAACAGTGCAAGCGGACACGGCTCGTATTACTTTGCTTAGAAAAATATAATTACGGTATCACCTGTCAACACGGGGCCACGGGTGAAATATTAGAAGTGTAATAAAACGGTTGAATTAACCCTCCTGCTACTTACACGACTTGACAGGAACATGCTTAAAATATTGATATACTTATGGCGTAAATTTAATAATAATAATGTTGTATTTACACTTGAGTGGCGACCCCGTACAAACAAACGGCAAAAGCAGTGTAGGACGACCCCCCACTAGATGAAGTGGCGACCTCAAATATATTGCAAGTAGTGAGTAAGTGAGGAAGTAGGCAGCTTAGAATCATTTCCTATGGCAGTCTATGGGAGAGGCGCATATTCAGCAGTGGACAGATAATGGCTGAGATGATGATGACGATGATTGCATTTAGAATATTAAAATAATGACTATCAACTTCTATATATTAGTATAATATACATACTAATTTAGTTGAAACCCAAATTACTCCTCAACAACCTCTCTACGAATGATTTAACCATTTCAATTATTTTATATACCCAATGCGTCCATTGTTAAGTTTCAAAGTGCCTTCTCCCTTAGAAACGTTCATGAAATTTATTAGATATATACAGTTGAAACGTTATAATTAGTAAGACATATAAGATAATATCAAAATAGCATAGTATTATATTTTCAAAGTCAAAATATTGACTTTTTTCTTGTGTGGTCTTACGTAGAAACAACAAATAATGGTAACTACAAGACATATTATAAAAAAAAAATACACTTTAAAATGTAATTTATTTTATTATAGAGACCATACAAATTTAAATTCTATATGCATATTTAAATATGTCGAAATACAGTACAGAGTAATTATAATATTGACATTAGCCGTACAAATAATTACAAGAATGAGTTCCTCAAAAAAAAAAAGACGACATAAATTGTTGCAAATTTTGTTATTTTGCTTTGTAAACTAAACTACTAAATATATTCTGATAAAATTTGCATGAGACCAATCTCTAAGTGTAATAAGCTTTCAAATAAAAAGGAATTTTTTAAATCAATTTACAACTGACTCAATTATGAGGTAGCAAACGTAAAAAATACAATCGAAATGCGAACGTCCTGCCTTTTGAAAAAGTTGAAAATAAAAGATGCCACTGGTCCATACAAAGTCAACCATACCGTTTTCTGTATGTCAATCAAACGTGCTTTGTCCGAGTGTGTAGTATGCGCTGCTATACTACGAAAAATAATTAGTTCAAACCTGTTTTGTTTTTAATTTATTTGTTTCGCTATTTTTCTTACTTTTGTTCATACATTTGTTTTTGTTTACTGATACAATCTTGAGCTGTGATTCGAGTCCAAATTTTAAAAAATACTTGACGGTCGACCATAGTAATATTACAATAGCTAATGTAGTATTACATTATCTGTGACAATAGTGTTTAATCTCGAATGATTTTCAACCGAAATAAAAAAGTACGAGGTTCTCAATTTGGTTGTATTTTGTTTATATTTGTTACTATATAACGCCGTCATTTTTTTTATGTTACTTAGAATGGCAAATAAACTGACGGCCGACCTAATGGAAAGTGGTAACCGTCGCCTATAGACATGAGCAGTACCATGAACATAACAGAGTATACTGCCATATCCGACCCTTCAAACTGAAACACAGCCATGCAAACACAACTGCTTTGCAGTAGAAACACGAATGGGACAGAGGTGTACAAGTACAAGCAAACGACGTTTGTACAATATCGCCCTCTGGTAAATATTAATATTTATAAACCGATTTGGAAAATTCTTTTGTATCTGAAAGTTTGTGATACTGAAACTTTTAAATTTGTCTCATAGAAATTTTATCAAAATTGGTTCAGTGGTTTAGTTTTTAAAATTTAATTACCTGGTATTGCCACAATCAAAATTTTTTTTAGAAGAATTACGAAAGAGATTTATTGAGCAAGAATGAATGGAGATGTCGGTAGGGGCCGCCCTAGACGGACGTATGTCGACCAAATAGGACGTGCTGAAGAAGGGCCAAATTAAAAGTACCCGTAACCGGCGAGCGTGTATGAAAAGATTGATGAATGTGGAAGAAGCGAAAGAGGTTTGTTTGAATCGAAGCATTTGGCGTTCCATTGTTTCTGCCTACCATAATGGGAGACAGGCGTGACAGATATGTATGTATGTATGTAATTTTTTTTTGTGAAACTAATCTATTATTAATATTTTTAATTTCTACTTTTTTTAGCTCATTACTTATATTACTTATACAACTAAAGCAGAAATAGTTTATGAATAATGGAATAGTAATTGATAATATTTATTCTATTTTATATCAATCATACAAGACACTGTGGATCGTAATATAATATCTGTTCCGGAGAATTCTAGCGTTAATTATCCAGTATATATGAATTTAGTACTAACTAAACTAAAGAAAATGAGGTGAATCCTAAACCAATCAGAGCAATTTCATCTCAACACAGTACGTGACTGGAATGCAACATACGGCGACAGGAAAAAATATTATCTAGTACGGAACTCCCTTGTTACATTATCCATAATGTTAAATTGCCAACTTCTCTCTCTTCCAATCGCATTTTCTATATAATAAAATAACAAGGTAATATTATACTGTTGATGTATGTAGATAAAATGTATCTACGTATGTGTAAAAATACAGGAACAATAAATTTATTAATAAACGAGAATAACAACGAATGGGTTGATGTAGTTTTAAAACTTTTCGGTGTTAATTTTCGCTTACGATTTATGGTTTAATTAATGTAGTGTTACTCTTTTCTTGCCTTTATCCTTTTTTATTATTATGATTGACTTTATTGGACAAAAAAACCTGTAATACCACTGTGATTAATTGTGCTCGCTCTTCTTTAAAGTTCATTGCTAATTCCTATCGGTGATAGGAATTTTAAGATATTCTTAGCAGCGATATTTTTTATTTCTTCACGATATAAATTGTATTTAAAGAAGATATATCGCTTGTGCATGAATATACTGCAGCCACAATTTTTTTTTATATTTATACTTATGCATATTTACACATGTCAAGTATAGTAACTAGGTTCACTATTTTGTATGAAGGATTTTTATCTCTGATCAGTATATTTGATTTATTATTTGATTTATTATTTTTTTTTTTATTTATTTTGCTGATAAAAATATAGATATAGGCAAATTTTATAATAATTAATTATACTGAATAACCATTACATTAATGTTAAATCACAGAGAAATTGTTTTGCCACTCTATTTACCTTGCTAGCGCTCTATAGAACTATATAAGGCTTTGTATATCATTTATTCATCGCGTAATACGGAATATTCATAAATTAAATAAAATTAATATAGGTAAAACTCGTATTTTATTTACAATAACCAAAAATATAATAAGTACTTACCCGTATATAGCTGCAGCCCCAGCGATGGCGCCGCCACACTGCGCGGCCACGTACAGCGCGGTGCGCAGCGGTGACACCCGGCGTCGCACGCACAACGCCACTGACACTGCTGGATTCACGTGGGCACCTGTAACACGATTCTTTATTAATCACTTTGTCTCGTGACTTTACCCGCATTCATTAGAATAGATGTATCTGTGAAACCGTGCCGTGTGGTCCCGGCATAGAATAGGCCATCTCTTCTTTTCCCATGGGTGTCGACTAACGGAGGATGAGGGATGGGCAGCGTCCCTCTTAAAACATCTCTAAAGCCTGACTGCGGTTGCTAGTTCACATGTCAAGCGTTTTAAATATAATATTTATAATAATTTATAATACTATCGTTTACAATATTAGTAAGACAGATAGGACATATTTTGCTTTCCAATAGGGCTTAAATCTTAATATCCTATTATCCATATAGGTCCCGGCATAGAATAGACCATCCTTTTCATTCCCATGGGTGTCGTAAGAGATGACTGATGGAGCTTATGGTAGAGGAATAGGCAGCAGCGTCCTCTTAAAACATCACCAAAAGTCAAACTGCGGTTGTCAATCCGCCTGACAAGCATGGCAACTACGGGCAAAACTCCCCTTATGAGGAAGGCTATGTATAGTAGTGGACAATTTAATATCATATGATAATATCAGTCAACTACAAGTGCCAATATATTTATATTCTTTACACTGCAAGGATATGCATATAAGCTAACGACCCATCTGATATAAAGTGGTCACCATAATCATTGTCTAAATCTATAGACATGACCCAAATACTATCCGTTACCATTTCTGGCGATTAAAGTTAAACCTAAATACAGTCATACAATCACAGCTACTTGTTTGCGGGTGCCACTGCTATCTACTTTTTATGCAAGTTCCCTCTGGAAATTAAACCAAGAAGTGTTCCGTTGTTTGGTTAATTTCCAGAGGGAACTTATCTATTGCCAAGTTTTTCAATATCTAATGTTACGTTTATTATAGTAAATAAGTACTTGAGTGCAGAAATAAATAGATACGCAGGTAATTTGTAATATAATATGTTACTGATTTACATTACGTTCATATAATTTTGAGTATCTCCTTAATTGGGCTCTTGAAATATTTCATATACTTTATAAACATTGTTTATTTTGACTGAGAACTCACTGAGTTCACCACATCAAACACCAAAATGCAAAACGTAATTATGGCTGTAATGATTCGTTCGCTGCCATCACACAAATTCTGAATTTACAATACTCGGCGTGGCAACATGCGTGCGACAGACGGTTTCAGCATAAATTAGCACCCTCAAGTCCTCAGGATTTCGACGCAGTTGGCAATAAATGCCCAGTGCAAAATGTAGGACCTCGACCCTCAACTAACCTTCTGGGTTAACGAGAATATATGTAGGGACAGCAAATAGTAATATCTCCATTGAAATTCGCTTCGTATGCTGCCTCTGTCCATTAGTCTGCCTTCCTCCGCCCATAGTTTGTTTGGGATTGTAATCCATCTTCTATTTACTGTAGGTGGCGCTAACTATTATCACTTCTTATTTATTACTCCATTAAGCTATTTATCTGTACAAACTATTCTATCTATCTACACAGTCCTCACGAGATAGGACTAAAGGACACAGGCTTATGGTTGTCAGGAATAATACGTTTAAGCAATCATTATTATCTTTGGTTCAACTTTTAATAAATGCATATTTTATATGTTTATCTACTTTAGAATTATTTTTATACATATATATTATTATTTTATGAAATATCTACGGTAAAACAAGAACTGGTGCGTACGTGTAAAATTATTTATTAAAGAGTATGAAGCAAGAAATGTACGAGAGGATAAAGAGCCTTGCCACTCGTTTCCCCCTCTGCCTACTACGAAAAGGACTGGATGAAATATGTTAATTAAACGTATTAAAGTTTGCTGTCAAAGTTTATAACACGAACTTCTTTGATCAAAGAATGTTTAACGTACTACATCTACTTTCAACGAATTACCAACGAGCGTTTCCACTTCACATCAAAGATACAAATGTTTACTGCCTGTTACAACATGATAATGGTTGTTTAGTATTTTATATGAAATCAGGTAACCCGAGGGTGGTAGGAAGCGATCGGAATCGCAAAACAGTACCTACCTGTACCCTAACTAGTTTGGTATTCGGGCCGGAACGGTGTGGCCCGTGACAGGAATCGACCAGCAAATAACCTAAGTAGATTTATTCGCTGACTGTTGGTACATCGTACGTATTTTTCAAAAAGAGAGGTAATATGTGACATGTGTCTGTCTATGAAATCGTTTTTAAACGCAAAAAACTGCGAGGAGATATTGTTAATAATGAGGACCCAATCTTAGCAACTCCATTCAGCAAGTAATATACCCTGTCAAAGCGATCACCCCGCGGTTAATTCTTAGTAAATTTTTAACGATGGGCCAAGGGACCTAATTTTATTCTCTCCTATTATCACTCACTAGTTTCCTGCCAGGGTATACCAATAGCGCAAGCAAGGTAACATTTCATCATCACCCATTAAACAAAAAACAGAAGTACAAATTATGATTTAATTTTTTGTCGTAATTTAAAAAGTTTTTTCAACCTTTTGAAAATCATCAGTTCTTTTTTAATTGATAAAGAAATTTGTACAACTTCCACAGTTCAACTATAATTTTGGTATCCTGTTACTTTAAAGTCATTTCAAAAATATGATAACCTTGACCATAAGTGGCAGCATCACCTGGTATTTGCAAAATACCGAATTCCACACCAAATTAGAGGTTTAGTTTCACTGAAATGATCCATGTAGTATTAAAATTGTTGTTACTTTTATAACTACGTTTCTTTAAAAAAAAATATAACTTTACTAGCAGATTATTTCCTTAAAAGTATCCTAATGTTCCCAAATACACTGCGCATACCTAAGTTATGTAAATTAACGATAACTTATGTCAATCATATGTCAAATCCAAATATTTCTAGTAACGAGTAGATATTTAGCTACCAATCATACAAACTCTAACTAACAGCAAATATTTCCAATCGTGAACTCATTTTCCAGCCAATGTTAATTTTCAGAGCTTAATAAGCTAATAATGTACTAGATATATACTCCGCTTCGGAGAATATGTGCTTTCAACGTCACTCCAGAACACAAGAGCGGCGAAATGAACAGAAACAATTGGATTCAGTACTTGGAAATACATACTGTAACATTTATATTTTAGTCTTTGCAAAATTAACTTAACAATGTATGTATATGTACAAGATTTAATTGATTTCCAACCGACTTAAACGAAAGTGCTTAATGTGACCGGAATAAAAAGTAGAGAATGCCATACACGTTTCCATTTCAAATATACGTAGTATAACTAATTCCCTAGATTATATAGATAGAGCACCGAACCTCAAAACGGGTCAATATTTTGTCAGCTGACTCGTTTTTTTATTAACGTTCTATATCTTTACGCACACAATGTCTCTTGAGGTATTTATATTTAATTATTAACAAATAAAATGAGTTTTGCGCATTAAAAAAGTGCAGAATTTATAGGACAAAATAAATACAGGAGTTACAAAAAGTTAACAATCATAACTATTTATCACGTAAAATTTATGAAAACGTTAAACCGCTTTTTTCGAAGCATTTGTATGGAGACACTCTATTTATGATATATAAAGTGAGCTAATTTCATAAACAACGCCAAGAGCTAACAAAGAGACTCACTTTCGTACACTATGAACACCAGTAGTGTTATTCTGTAAAATCAATCTCGAATTACACTAGCGAGTCTGCAATCCACAAGTGATTTACATTTGATATTCTGAAAACAAGCAAGATTGATTACAGCACTATTTCGTTAAGGCGGCGGCGCAGTGAACTGGGATAAATGCGTTACCATTCTCAACAACTGAGTTTAGTTTACCAAATTTATTTCAGTTCACGTGTCGTTCCTAAAGATTACAAATTATAAAAAGTAGACAAAGGCTGGTAGAGAAGAAAGATTCTTGAGTGGCAACCATGTATGGGCAAACGCAGTGAAGGAAGACCCTCACTAGATGGAGCGACAACTTCAAGTGCAAGTCAGTGAATGCAGGTGGTCCTTCTGCAAAATTGGTCTTACATAAGGTCGCCCATTGTTTATCTCATTGTGATTATTTCTTGTAATTGTTTATATTTATAATAAGTTTACTGGGGGGAAAGGAATTGTTAGTAATGGAGACTGAGAATCCCATTGCTAGCAATATACCCAACCAGGTAGACCTCCTCGTGGTTCTTCCTGGAAATTATCATGGTTAATTCCTGATGAATTCATCATGATGGGCTAACTGGTCTGTTTTCATTCTCATCTATCACCCTTCACTGGTGCTCCGCCAGCGTATCCCGTTAGCGCAGGCAGGGTTACCATACCATTTTCACCCATAAAAAAAATAGATTTACTGGTGTAACCTTTTGGAGGAAACAATAAAGAGTATCTATCTATCTAATTGTACCACAAGTTGTCACTTTATACTACCTTTTGTGGAGAGAATATAAACCACACATTCATTCATTCTGCCATTCTATGGGGGAGGCCTATGTTTAGCAATCAACAAATAACGACTGATACGATGACGAATACCATTGTAGGACTATATTTAGTGTTTATTTTCGAAACCATAAAAATATCCTCATGATAAGATAATTTGACCAAAAGCCCCAATACTGTTAACCTTTATTAGATTATTGATAACAGCATCAAATAAAACAACGGTTCAATTGTTCAATTCAATATTGACGTAATCAATTATATTGTATCAGCAAACATTTCTGTATAAATGGTTCTTTTTGCGATAAATATAGTTTTGTAACGAAAAAATAATCTACGTACATATTAAGTATATATTGTACATATAGTTAACAACAAAGACCGGCCTTTAAACGGCTGCTTCACCCTAAAATAGAACAAAGATCAAAATAACAAAACACTACTGAAAAGGAAACTTAATTTTGAAAACAGGCCAAGCAACAATAAGGCTCTATCTGTCTATCACATACGTAACTTGGCGTAACATAATATACATAACAAAGAAAACCATATAGTGTAAAAATCATG